ATCTGTCAGTCGCCATGCTGCGGTGGCGGCCCACACAGAAGAACTAGAAGGACTTACAACTAAGATATACAACCATGCACTGGGGCTTTGGGGAGGAAAAAAAAATACAATGTCCTAAAAGAGTGTTTCTCAAAATGTAGTTGGTCCCCAGACCACATACAGCAAAATCACCTGTATGAACAACACAGCAACACTTCAGAATCCTGGTCACTACCCGCAGCTACTCTTTCTCAGGGGTTGGGCATGGGAAATCTACACTTTAAAATGAGTACCCAGATGAATTCCTAAATTACCACTGCTCTAGGGCATCAATTTGCCTCAGAGGAGCAGGTTTAAAGACCTGGTCAGTATAGAGGCTCTCTGCTTTTTATGTTTGATATATTAGCTTTCAGCGAGGGAAGGGAATGGGGGGAGATTCTTCTACTAAACAAGATTGGAGATCACTGCCCTAGAGTAAAGCAGTAATTTTTTTTTTGCTGAGGAAGACTAGCCCTGAGCTAACATCTATGCCAATGTTCCTCCACTTTATATGTGCGTCTCCACCACAGCTTGGCTGACAAGTGGTGAAGGTCCACACCTGGGATCCAAACCCGCAAACCTGGGCCACCGAAGCAGAGAGCGCTGAACTTAACCACTATGCCACGGGGTCGGCCCCAAGCAGTAACTTTTATACTTCAGAAATATAGCTATTCCTTTAGAAACTAAAATTCTCATTGGCAAAACTATGTCATGTTATGGTCTTTTTGTCATAAGGTGTCAAAAACAATGTTTAGGGGGTCAGCCCGGTGGCGCAAGCAGTTAAATGCACACACTCTGCTGCGGCAGCCCAGGGTTCGCCAGTTCAGATCCTGGGCGCGTACCGACGCACCGTTTGTCAGGCCATGCTGTGGCAGCGTCCCATATAAAGTGGAGGAAGATTGGCATGGATGTTAGCCCAGGGCTGGTCTTCCTCAGCAAAAAGAGGAGGATTGGCAGATGTTGGCTCAGGGCCAATCTTCCTCACAAAAACAAAAAAAAAACAATGTTTACTGAAAATGAGTTTTTGATAATAAGAACAGCCAACATTTATTGAGCAGTTACCTGTCAGGCACTGTGCTAAGTAAGTATTTAACACTTTGTCTTACTGAACATTGACAACTTACTTTATGAGGCAGATACTGTTATTATCCCCATTATCTCAGCAGGAAACTAAGGTTTAAGAGTGGTTAAGGGGGCCAGCCCAGTGGCGTAGCAGTTAAGTTCACATGTTTCAGTTCGGTGGCCCAGGGTTCACTGGATCGGATCCTGGGCACAGACCTACTCATCGCTCATCAGGCCATGCTGAGGTGGTGTCCCACATAGAAGAGCTACAAGCCTACAACTATGATACACAACTCTGGCTTTGGGGAGAAAAAAGAAAAAAGAGGAAGATTGGCAACAGATGTTAGCACAGGGTCAATCTTCCTCAAAAAAAAGAGTGGTTAAGGGCCGGCCCCGTGGCCTAGTGGTTAAGTGCGCGCACTCCGCTACTGGCGGCCCGGGTTCAGATCCCGAACCACATACAGCAACTAGAAGGATGTGCAACTATGACATACAACTATCTACTGGGGCTTTGGGGGAAAAAAGGAGGAGGACTGGCAATAGATGTTAGCTCAGAGCCGGTCTTCCTCAGCAAAAAAAAAGAGGATTAGCATGGATGTTAGCTCAGGGCTGATCTTCCTCACCAAAAAAAAAAAAAAAAAAAGAGTGGTTAAGTAACTTGCCTAAGATCACAAAGCTAATATATAATGGGCTTGAACTGAGGTTTGCACGACTCCAGAGTTTAATCACGACATGACACTGCCTCAAGTTGCACCCAAGAATTCATCCTGCAAGCAAGCAAAGACTGAAGTGAAGCTTTTGGTTCTACAGTGGCAGACCATACCCTTCACACAGTGGCTGGCAAGCAAGAGAGGCTCAAAAAATACATGCTGATGAACAAATACATTAAAGGAGAATAATATGAGTCCCTTTTAGACCTGTAACCTAATTGGAACAGAAAAATTATGACAAACAAATCATTATATGCAGAAGTCTCAAGAGAAGGCAGAATAAAGGAGAATATTGTAGTTTATCAGGAAGGGAATCCTTGTGGAAATGAGTGTTACTTGTTCCTCAATTCCTACACATTTATGGTCTAGGAATAATAGGAATACAAACAAATCTAAGACCTTCACAATGCTCATAAGCTTAGTGTTGCAAATGACAAAGGATGTTAAACACACATTACACAATCAGCAAAAAAGTATAAAGTAATAAACGGCATGATCCTAACAATTAGACACCACAAAGGAATATAACCACATGGGGCAGAAAAGAGTCAGAGAAGAGAGAGCTCACTGGGAACCGATCCAGGGATCAATGAAAACTTCACCTCAAATTGGGGCCTGAAGGTTTGAGCAGGTGATTCTCAAGATACAACAGACATGGATGGAACTGTGCTTTCCAATCCAAAGCCTCAGGGTAACATCTTCTACACGTATTTTCAAGAAACAAAGTAACTGCTACAGTATCGCTCATTTATTTGCACAATAAATAAATCTGAGCTAAGTATTTCCGGGAGAAACTAAGGCACAGAAACTAAATAACTCGCCTCAAAAGTAAAGTTAAAAAACTTATTGAGGGGCTGGCCCAGTGGCCCCAGCAGTTGGGTGTGCGCGCTGCGCTGCAGCGGCCCAGGGTGCGCGGGTTTGGATTCCAGGCGTGCATTGACGCACCGCTTGTCAAGCCATGCTGTGGCGGCGTCCCATATAAAGTGGAGGAAGATGGAGACGGATGTTAGCCCAGGGCCAATCTTCCTCAGCAAAAAAAGGAGGATTGGCATGGATGTTAGCTCAGGGCTAATCTTCCTCACACACACACACACACACAAAAAATTACTGACTTCCAGTCCAATGCTCTAGCAGACAACATGGAACTCCATTCCTAAAAGAGCTGGAGTTAACAGAAACTGGAAGTTATCTTCCTTAGAGAGATCCATGTGGTTGGAAACCTTTGGGTGAAAGCTTCTAGGTTAGGAATAAGTTTCTACAACTGAGTCGTTTTGGTAAGAAGGCTGAGACACAGCCAACCTACTCTGAGATAGTTCTTCTGAGAAACATGGTGATATTCCCCATGGAGATAATAAATAAAAGTGCCCACTGCCCATGGATCCTCTGACTCCAAGGATGAAGTATGACTCTCTTGCATGAATTGAGATTTAAGCTTAGCAGTAACCTTTTCAAACCACAGTTGTTTTTTTAACACACGTACACCACTCAGACTTCTACAAACACACTAACTGAAGAACACACACTAAGAGACATCCAAAAATGTCAATATTCAAACTGACTTTCTGCAAAACCCTGACTTTCCCAAAACCCTGAGTGATTTAAGGATATTACTCTATTTTTCACAATGATTTCCCTACATGCTTCAGAGCCACCTCACCGTTACTCTGAAATACTTGGAGAAACAGGCTTAAACGGTAAGCTGGCCTGTCTGCGGTCATCTGCAAATCAGCAGGCAGCAGGAACAGAATTTCAGTTTTCTCCTAGTCCAGACCTCCAAGCATTTCAAACAGAAGGCTGCTGCTCAGTATAATCCCAGTCGTTGTAACGAGCCTTCCAGCACAAAAAGAAAGTGCATTCTCCTAACAGGGGCTAGGAGCAAAGCAGTCAGGCATGAGTTTGGTAGGTTCCCCGGGATGATCAAAGCATCTTTCAGGCAAACCAATGCCTTCCTTCCCTTGTTCTCTTTCATCAAAGAACGCGCCTTACCCTGCAAGAGCTAAACTTGACCCAAGCTCCCCAACGACTAAGCCTAAGAAAAGGAGGGCACAGTGACCACAATGCTGCCCAACATGAGAGCTGACATGAAACAGCAGAGGAGGAAAAAGCAGACTGGTCCTCACAAGGTGCAGAAGCAGTTCAATGGAAATTCCGGAGAAGAAAACCTCGAGCTGAGAGGTGAAGGAAGTGCCATCAGATAAGACGAGCAATATTCATAACAAATATTTACTGACAGGCTATTACGCGCTCTTCTGGGGGCTGCGGATACAGCGGCGAAAGAGACGAAGCGGGACAACACCGCGGGCCCAGGGAGCACTAAGCGACAGGAACGTTTAGCTCATTTCAGGAGGGAGGGCGGCAGGGAGAAGGGCGACGCTTCACGCTGTAACTTGGAAGACGGAGGTGCGGGGATCGGGCTAAAGCCTCGGACCCGGGCTTGGACGCTCGCTTGACCGCTCAGCCAGTTCTGAGCCGGACCCGCGAGCCATCGGTGAAACCCAAGGTGCCCACGGAGTCGGGAGAGTTCCAGGGACATGCGCGGGGGCCGGCGCTCGGAAGCGCCCTGGAAGTAACAACTGTCTCTTTCTGCTTCTACTTCACCCCCTGTCCCCAAGCCCAGGACGGCGCCGGGGCCTCCCCGAGAACGCGGGCAGGTCGGCGGACGGAACCGACGCACGAGAGGAACAGACGGATGAATGGAAGGCCGCGCGAGGACGGAGAGCAGAACTGCCCGGAGGGGCTCGGCGACTCCGAGCACGAGCACATGGGGACCCGGGGAGCGCCGCCGGGCAGCGCAGGAGGCGGCGGCGGGCCGGGGCGGGGGCTCCCCGCGACCGCGAAGCGCCCCGGGGCGCCTCGAGGGAGCGTCACGCCGGACGAGGAAGCGCGGGGGGGCGCCGAGGGACGCGCCGGCGGGGACAGGGGAGGAGAGAAAGGGCCCGAGCGAGGAGACAGGAGGCCGGCGCCGAGCGAAGGGGTGAGGCACCGGCCCGCCTCTCGGAGAAGTCGCCTCAGATCCCCGCGCGCCGGGACAGTTTGGACGTAACCGCCTCCCGTCTCGGCGCCCGTCCGCCTAGCCGGGCTTCGCCCGCCGCCGCCACCACATCTCGCCCCAACTCCCGCCCCGCTTCCGCTCGGCTAGGACTCGGCGCCTCACACCCACCCCCGCCAATTCGGCCCGCTCCGCACCTCACACACGGCCCGCCGGCGGCCGCCGCCATCTTCGCGCGCCCGCGCGCCCCAGCCCCGCCCCCAGACGCCGCGCCCACGTGACCTACCCACCCACCACCCCCCCCGGCTGGCGCGTGGGCGGGGCCTTACGTCACGTGATGGCATGGCGGGGCGGGGCCAAGATGGCGCTGCCCTGAGAGGTGAGGAAGCTGCGGCGAGGGCGGCCGAGGCTGTGAGGAAGGCGGCCAAATGGCGACGTCTGCGACGTAGATGAGAGGCGGTGAGGGGTGACCGGGCGCCAGCACCCGGGCCGCAGAGAGTGGCCTACAGTGGAGCTTTCCTCCTCGCAGCTGGAGAACGGAGAGAGAAGGTGCTGGCTGGGTGAAGCTGCCGCTTTCTGCCTGGCGGGGCTTGAGGGGCCCAGAGTCCACGGAGTCCCTAATCACCCTGGTTTCCCCGGGGTCCCAGGTCTAGAGACATGACCCGAGATTGCGCTCCCCCGGCCCCGGGAACCGGGGCTCCGCTGAGCGGGTCGGTGCTGGCAGAGGCGGCAGTGGTGTTCGCAGTGGTGCTGAGCATCCACGCGGCCGTGTGGGACCGATACTCGTGGTGCGCCGTAGCCCTCGCAGTGCAGGCCTTCTACGTCCAGTACAAGTGGGACCGGCTGCTACAGCAGGGGAGCGCTGTCTTCCAGTTCCGAACGTCCGCAAACAGTGGCCTACTGCCCACCTCAGTTGTCATGCCTTTGCTCGGACTGGTCATGAAGGAGCGCTGCCAGTCTGCGGGGAACCCATACTTCGAACGCTTTGGAATTGTGGTGGCAGCCACTGGCATGGCAGTGGCCCTCTTCTCATCAGTGTTGGCGCTGGGCATCACTCGCCCGGTGCCCACCAACACTTGTGTCATCTCGGGCTTGGCTGGAGGTGTCATCATATATATCATGAAGCACTCACTGAGTGTGGGCGAGGTGATCGAGGTCCTGGAGGTTCTGCTGATCTTCGTCTATCTCAACATGATCCTGCTGTACCTGTTGCCCCGCTGTTTCACCCCTGGGGAGGCACTGCTGGTACTGGGTGGCATCAGCTTCATGCTCAACCAGCTCATCAAGCGCTCCCTGACTGTGGTGGAAAGCCAGGGGGACCCAGTGGACTTTTTCCTGCTAGTGGTGGTAGTGGGAATGGTGCTCATGGGCATCTTCTTCAGCACCCTCTTTGTCTTCATGGACTCAGGTACCTGGGCCTCCTCCATATTTTTCCACCTCATGACCTGTGTGCTGGGTCTGGGTGTGGTCCTGCCCTGGCTGCACCGGCTCATCCGCAGGAACCCCTTGCTCTGGCTTCTTCAATTCCTCCTCCAGACAAACACCCGCATCTACCTCTTAGCCTACTGGACTCTGCTGGCCACCTTGGCCTGCCTGGTGGTGCTGTACCAGAATGCCAAGCGCTCATCTTCTGAGTCCAAAAAGCACCAGGCCCCCACCATTGCGCGAAAGTATTTCCACTTCATTGTAGTGGCCACCTACGTCCCAGGTATCATCTTTGACCGGACGCTGCTCTATGTGGCCGCCACCGTATGTCTGGCAGTCTTCATCTTCCTGGAGTATGTACGCTACTTCCGCATCAAGCCCCTGGGCCACACTCTACGGAGCCTCCTGTCCCTCTTCCTGGATGAACGAGACAGTGGACCGCTCATCCTGACACACATCTACCTGCTCCTTGGCATGTCTCTTCCCGTTTGGCTAGTCCCCAGACCCTGCACACAGAAGGGTAGTCTAGGGGGAGCAAGGGCCCTAGTCCCCTATGCAGGCGTCCTGGCCGTGGGTGTGGGTGACACGGTGGCCTCCATCTTCGGCAGTGCTATGGGGGAGATCCGCTGGCCTGGAACCAAAAAGACCTTTGAGGGGACCATGACGTCTATATTTGCCCAGATCATTTCTGTAGCTCTGATCTTAATCTTTGACAGTGGAGTGGACCTGAACTACAGTTATGCTTGGATTTTGGGGTCCATCAGCATCGTGTCCCTCCTCGAAGCATACACTACACAGATAGACAATCTCCTTTTGCCTCTCTACCTCCTGATATTGCTGATGGCCTAGCTGCTGTGCAGCAGTGATGGAGGAAACAGGGCCAAGGGGAGGATGAATGGTCCCCACAGCAGCCAGCCAGTTGGGCATGAAGAGCCAAGGAGTGAGAAGCAGATTTGATTTTTCAGTTGATTCAGATTCAAAATAAAAATCCAAGATCAACGGGTTTTTGTTTCGCTAATATTTAAAAAGCAATGGGGCCGGCCCCATGACGTAGCGGGTAAGTGCGCGCGCTCTGCTACTGGCGGCCCGGGTTCAGATCCTGGGCGCGCCCCGACACACCGCTTGTCCGGCCATGCTGTGGCGGCATCCCACATACAGCAACTAGAAAGATGTGCGACTATGATATACAACTATCTACCGGGGCTTTGGGGAGAAAAAGGAGAAAAGGAGGAGGATTGGCATGGATGTTAGCTCAGAGCCGGTCTTCCTCAGCAAAAAGAGGAGGATTGGCATGAATGTTAGCTCGGGGCTATTCTTCCTCACAAAAAAATTAAAAATAAAAAGCAAAAAGGCTTAAAGAATATTGCAACAAATCAAAGAACTTGAGTGTGCTGTAGCCCCCCGCCCCCTGCCTTGCAGTCTTCAGAGGAGGCCGGAGTGGACACTGGAGGCAGGAGAGCGTAATGGTTAACACTGCAGGTTCTGCTGTCAAGGTAATCTGGTCAGAATCCTTGGCTGCATCACTTCTTCAACTGTGTGAGTTGCTTAACCACTCTGGGGCTTAGTTCTGTCTGCAAGATGAGAATAATAAGAGCCGCCACCTCACGTGGTGCTGTGAGGATCCAGTGAGGTGAGGTGTATGACATGTCCAGCCCAGTGATTGCACATCGTGAGCAATCAGTAAGGGAAAGTGTCATGATTACTCAAGGCCAGTCCTCAGCAAAAAGCCAGGCAAGCTAGAGGGTTTCTGGGGTGTCCTCGGAGACAGAGGGACCTTACTCCCCTGGCTTCACTTGGAGGAGAACCCAAGAGGAAAAGAGCCAAGTGCATGTGGTTTCTCCCATTTGGACTAGGAAGAGCTGAAGGGGAGAGGTGGGATCGGCTTGTTGCATGTGTGGAAGGGCTGAAGGAAGAGGATCAGTCTCTGGGCTGACTTCCTGTTTCAGTCAACCCCACCTCTGCCTCAGTGTCTCTGCTGCCTGGCTGAGTGGTGCTGATGAAAGACCGGCTGGACAGCACAGGATCCTTGTCAAGGGGTCCCTCCTGAGACCCTCTCACACTCTGGTCTTGTCCAAACCTGTGTTTGTCTCTTCTCTTGTCAAGAAATTAGAGCTTAGGGAACTGACAGAGTTTACTGAGAGGTCAGAATAGCTCTACTTGGGGGCCCATGCTCTAGCCTTGCTCTCTGTGAGGACAGAGTCTGGGTCTGCCTGGTTCCGCACCGCATCCCCTGGTGCCAGCAGAGCCTGGCATGTAGCAGGAACTCAGTAGACGTTTCCCGAATGGATGAACATTTCCCATCAGTGGGAAAATAGCAGAGCAGGTTTCCTGAGGCTGGACGAAGTTATGCCCCCTTCTTACCCAGCGTGGCAGGGAGGGGCATAGCAGGAAGAGGTGAGAACTTTGGCCCGCCAAGGCCAGAAGCCAGGAGCGGAGCTTTCGGGAGCTCTTGCTTCTGCCTGGGGATCACTGCCAAGCCCTTTCCCGGAGAGGACATTCCTTTGGGGCTCAGAGGGGACTTAAGAAACCCTTCCCTCTCTCAGGCTGCCTTCTATGGCTTGCCTAGGAGGCAGCAAAACGCTGGAGGAGGGCACAGTTTTGCCTCACTGACTCCCTGGGCAGCCCTGGGAAAGGCCTCTGTCCTCTGGGCCTTGGTTTGTCCACGTAGATGGTGGGGGCTGGAAATCAAGGTCACAAACTTACATGGCTGCTGAGGCCAGGCAGGTAATGCCACAAAGGAGGACAGGGGAAGTGGGAAGCAGAGAGGACGCGTGCCACTAAGGGGACACCTCCAGCCAGTCGTCACCATGCTAGACCACAGGCCCAGTGTGGTTGACCTGCCCAGTCAAGGAAGCTTACAGACCTGGATTGTTATGTGACATCTCCCAAATTTAAAAAGTTTTTATAAAAATGTTGAGGCCCAGACAAAACACATCTGTGGTCTGAAATCAGCCAGTGGCGCCCAGTTTGCAACCTCCAGGCCAGGCTCCAGCTAAGCAGGTTTTCAATTTGGTGGTCGTTCCTGCAGAAGGTCTGGGTGCCTGCCAAGCATGCCCAAGCAAGAGGCCCTCGTCTGGCCCCGATTGTGCAAGTTGCATAACAGACCCAGAGAGAGGAAGGGCCTGGCCTGAGGCCAGAAAGCAAGTTGGTCACAGAGCCAGGACCAGATATGGGACTCTGGATTCCCAGTCCCGGTCTTTCTCCTCCGCAAGCAAGGAGGCCCAGGAGTGGAGAGGTTAGAAGCACAGGCCCTGGATCCAGCTGCCCTTGCTGAACAACTGCACGGCTGTGTGACTGGGGCTCCCCGTGCCTCAGCTTCTTCACCTGTAAATGCGGATGGTGAGAGCCCAGACCTGGAAGGAGTGAGGACTCAGTGAGACGAGGCACGTGGAGCTCTCGGCATGGTGAGCACCCACGAAATGTTACTTACTGGTATAAAAATCAGGCAACCCTCCCCAGGCTGGGCTGGGGGACCTGGGGTGATTTTCAGCAGGCCTCTCATCTTGAGAGCAAGGCTGTTTGGGAAAGAAAGATCAAGAAGCTGCATTTGGGGCCGGCTCTGTGGCTTAGCGGTTAAGTGCGCGTGCTCTGATGCTGGCGGCCC